TGTTAAGAGAATTAAAGGGGAAAAGGGAAGGAGACTCATGGGTTGAGACTCATGGGTTGAGATAAGAACAATTTAAAATATAAAATTAAAAGTAATAATGATCAAATAATAATGATAATATTATTAATATAATATAATATAATATAATGTATGCAAAAGAGTGATGCACGGTATAATTGCTCACCACTTGGTCATCAATGCCTGCCCCATCCTGGCAAACAATCCTGAAAGAGATAAGTCCCAACACCGCAATCCCAGACAATTGAAAGGCCCGAAGAAAGAATGAGAGCGAGAGAGCTTTGAGAGATTGAGAGTCCGAGAGAGCCCTTGGAAGAACTAGCTAGCCCTTCTTCCCAGTCAACCCTCCTCTATAGACTGAGCATGACGTTGCATGATATGGAATACTCCGTTGGCCAATTTAGCCCTCAATCCTAAATCTAAGTTCAAATCATAAGGAGAATTGTGGACCCTTCGTCCTGGCCATGGTCCCCCTGAGCCTGTTGTGCTCCTGCACATTGTCAAAAACACAAAGCTGAAGGGTCTTTGATGTCTCAGTGCCGACCATAAACATCAGTGCGCTATCAACTTTCTTCTCATAATGAATCCCAGACTAAATCCAAAACACAGAGCTCTTCTGGCTACTAAAAAGAAAAACTAACTCTGTCCCAGTCAAAATCAGGACAACCATATAGCATCCCTTGGGAGGCAGCTGTGGATAAACCATCCATGTTAAAAGACAGCTGGACGCATAAGATGATCCCTGAATCGATGCCCTGGTGCACAGCACTGGGGTTAGTGTCGCAAGCAATGGCATGATGGCACCAAGGTGGTTTCCTTGGCTCTTGTTCCAGAGCAGACAGTTCATCAATGACATGGCAAAGATCTACTCCATCACGGTGACCAACGCGGTGGATGGAGTCGCTTCTTCTTGCCGGGCTTGTGCGCTGGGCTCTGAGCAGTCTGGCTCGTCCTGCGTGCCCTGCCCGGCGGGACACTACATCGAGAAGGAGACCAGCCAGTGCAAGGAGTGTCCGGCCAACACCTTCCTGTCCATCCACCAGGTCTACGGCAGGGAGGCCTGCATCCCCTGTGGGCCTGGCAGCAAAAGCACCGAGGTACAGAAACCGGGTGTTTCCGAGTCAGGGTAGGCTGGGATATAAGCTCTCAAAGGGCCAGTTTTAGTGCTCTCCTACAGGTATGTGCCTTGTGAGCATTGGGGTATAATTATAACCAATGATCCTGTTCTTCCAAATATGTCTCTAGTCTAATTTCTGTTTGTAAATAAGCAATAAGAAGATAAAATTGACCATACTGGCTCAAAAAAAGGTTCATTTCGAGAAGCTGCATTGGGGACAGTGTAAGAGAATATACATGCCTTCCACCTAAAACTGTCCCAGACTCCTGCTGTTTTAAACTCAGGGACTTTCTCAGCTGGATGATGTTTATGTGCCTTTAGAAACCTGTAACAAATTTCTTTATATGAAATTACCCTTAAGCCTAGATAAACATTTATCGTGTGTAGCATCCTTTGGCAAGGAGCTGCACAGGGACTGGAAGAACTGCTCCATTTTGTTAATTTTCTGCCTTTCTCCAGCTGGGTTCATATCCTGTCCCCATTTCTTGAGCCTTTTCTTGTGTTTCCTTTGCACGACGCAAGTGTAACTGAGGCCATGTGCTGCTCTGTCTGTGGGGCTTTAAGCCGAGACATTGGGATCCTAAAAGCACCCACAATAAAGCAAAGCGAGAAACTGCATTTTCTTGGCCAATTCAGGAGACAGCAGAAAGGCCAGACTTCGGGAACGTTAGAGTCCTGATATGTGATTGCCAGGGACTGAGACAGGAATGGGAATTCTCCCAAGGGGAAGGTGAATTACAGGAACAGGACAAGTTCCTCTCCATCCCTAACAAGGAAAGCAGTCTTGTCTGTGCCTGCTTGCTTCAACTCCCAGGTGAACGGTTCACTTCTGGTCTGTAACTGCTCTTTAATGGATGCCTCTCCTTCTCTGAAGGACCACTCTGCCTGCTTCAGCGACTGCCTGGTGTCGTACGTCAAGGATAACCAGAGCCTGAGCTACGATTTTAGCGACCTCAGCCAGGTGGGCTCGTTGATGAGCGGACCCAGCTTTACCTCCCGAGGGACCAAGTTCTTCCACTTCTTTAACATCAGCCTGTGTGGGAATGAGGTGAGCCCAGCTGGTGTTGACGGTCAGGGGGATTAACCAATTTGCTGCCGGTGTTGATGTTATGTGGGATCACACTGAGAAAGGACGAGGACTCCCCCACAGCTGAGCTGTCACTGACACTGTGCAAACACTTTCCTCTGATCTTGCTTGGCAGTGCAAGAGGACTTTTGAGCAGCCAAGTGATTTTCCAGAGCTGAGATGACAGTGTTTTAGGTGTAAGTAATGCTCAGAACAAAAACCCTGTCACATCCCTACCTTTTCTTAGTTCTTGTGCCTTCAAGTCACTTGGGTCACAACCCTGACCTTTTTGTGCTGACACCAAGGAACTCCAGTGAAGAGTCTGAGTCCTTCAGTTGCCAGCTTCGTCCCACGTGTTTCCCTCATGACTTGGCTGGAGATGTTGCCGTCAGCAAAGCCCCTGGTCACCCTACTCTCTGCCAGTGGCTGAGGTGCCTGTTGCTGACTTTGATTGCAGCCTTTTAAAGGAGTGGAAAAATGTGTTTAGTCCATGAGTGCGAACAGCCTCTACCCCAAAGTCAGAGTTTTTACGTCTGGGGTTTGGACTGTACCAGAGCATGTTGTCACATACAGAAATTGACGTTTCGGACCAGTACCAGTGATATGTATTGTTCCATAAAAATCAATGTATGTAGTTTACGTTGATGTTCAGCCATGTAAAGTTCTGAAGTCTCTTCCCCATGTACCAAAGGGTTTGCATGAGTTGAGGCAAATGAGCAGTCGCATTTCTTTGCAGTGTTCTGCATACTTTTGGAATTAAACATGTTTTTACATACTCTCCTGAATTAGAGCTGTTGACAACTAGATCCACAAAGGTACAGCTACGCTCCTTCCCCTGTGGATCTGGTCTTCATTTTCCCAAATTACTACAGTGGTGGTGCAGTACTACCAACCATATGATTAGGTCCTGAGTGCTTGTCATTTTGTTAGGACAACTGAATCTGATGATTTGTCCTTCATTGCTGTTGCTCTGAGATTCTAGCAGTGGTCTTGACATGTGACATTAATGCAGCCTTGAAGGCTATATATCTGTTTAGGGATTTCACGTATTTGTGCTTTGAGAATATTTTATCTGGATTAAGTCCCAAATAAAGAGGTATTCTGCAGTATATTATTTAAAGGAGAGGGAAATACAGTTTTCCTTTGCAAGCCATTTTATTATGATCTGCAAGTAAACACCGTACTGTCAAGATAAACAAAGAAGAGTGCTTCGTAGCACAGGTTTCTGATAAGACACATAACAGAGGTGACATCGTGTTTCAGGGTCTGTACAAGGCTTTAATCAGAGTTTTCACAATGGCACAGTTTGTTGTTGCAATGGAAACGTCAAGTTGTTTCTAAGGTGCAGGAATGAAACTCATCCAGTTTGCAATCAGGAAGTTTACAATCTCTCCTAAACTTTTTTACATCCTACCAACAACCAAGAGCATCCCTATTTTTTCTGATTGTCCACAGGGGAAGAAGATGGCTATTTGCACTGACAATATCACAGATGTCACTCTGAAGGACATGGTTGCAGAATCAGAAGATTTTTCCAACTTTGTGGGAGCTTTTGTCTGTCAGTCCACCATCATCCCGTCGGACAGCAAGGGTTTCCGAACAGCCCTGGCTCTGCAGTCCAACAGCCTCGCTGACAGGTTCTTAGGTACATGGTTTGTCTTCTGCATGTCGGTGTCATGGATGTATTCTCATTTATTTAGGGCTGCAGAGTAAATCCCTTTCAGCTCAGCAGTGCTGCATTGGGAGCTCGGGAGAAGAGCAAAGGGGCAGCCTAAGATTCAGTTCCACTTTGTTCCTGGGCTGTGAAGCAGATGTGGACAGATGCTGTTAGTTTTTACTGCTGTTTCAGTACAGCTGAAGGCTGGAGGAGAAGAGTTATGGGCTCCCTCTGTTCTTTGTTTTCCATGTCCATATTACTCACTCTTGCCCGTGTTTGGTCTAGTGGGTCCCATGGTACGTAGAATTTCAGCGCAAAAATCTGGAGAATGTAATTAAAAAGGACTGGTTTTCTTTCATGTTTCCTACCTGCCTCATGCAGGGCAAGACCGATCGCTGCAATAGTCATGTTAGTCCAAGTGTTTCTGCCCATGCCATATCCCTACTTGGGCAATTTCGGAAGAAGCTGGTGCTGGGACATAATTAGGTGAGGAAGAAGGAGGCTTAGGGCAGCATGGGGCCGTGCACATCATTAAGTCTTCCATTGCTCTGGCTCACAGGTTGCCAGAGTCTGAGGCCAGATTAGACAATGAAGTCATTTAGTCTGCTCACCTATCCATTACAGGCACTGAGTGCTTGTACTTTCTCCCTGGCACTGAGCCCAGAAACTCATGTTTGACAAAAGCATGTCTTTGGAAGAGCATTCCACCTGGACTTTTAAGACTGCCAGAAATAAAAGCTTTGCCACAGTCATTGGTATTTTTTTTTCCACTGGTCAAACACCAACTCTGTATTTTGTTTTAAAGCAGACTTGTTTCTTGTTTGAATTTGCCTGGATTCAGTTTTCAGCTCTTGCTTCTTGTTATTCTTTCTCCATTTCACACCCACATTTTCCTCCTTGGAGAAATATTTTGCGTACTGGAACCATCACACTCTCCCCAGTCTGCTCTTCTGATAAACTAAGTAAACCAAGTTCTCCTAAGTCTCTTGCTATCATGTATTTCTTTCAAGCCTCTGAATAATTTCTGAGGCTTTTTCTACAGCCTTTGTAACCTGTTATTATGTTTTCTTAAAGCATGGCATCAGAATGGAGTAATATCCCAGTATTTAATTCACTATAATGGCAATAAAAACCACTTCTGTATTTGTATTTACAAGCGAGGATGGAATCCCTGAGTCCTTCTTTCTTGGGACTCGTGGGATTTCATGATGGCTTCTTGAATCTGATGTCCACTCAAAGATCATTTTCAGAGTTACAGTTTCCAAGAGAAAATCTCTCTTCCTTAGGAGTGGCCTTCATCACTTGCTGCACTTCTCCGCTCCAAAATATGTGTAGTTTGATTGGGGCCAGCTAACCAAGTGAACCAAGTTACTCTGTATTTTATTCCTGTTCCTTTTAGTCGTTGTCTCATCTACACATTTTATCAACAGTGATTATACAATTGCTTGCAGATCCCTTGTGATAATCTTGCATTTTGGGACTCAGATATCAATGTCTAGAGAAGTCTGGAGACATACCACTTTGATGACAATTTCCCATGGCCAAATAATTTTATAATTAGTTAGTTAAATAATTTTTAATCTAGATCGTGCAGTTAATTGATATTACCTGATAACTTTTTAATTAGAATCTCATGTGGTAATTAGTGAAATACTTAATAAATGTACATAATTTTCTTTAGCAATCAAATTCATCGGCGCTCCAGGAATGAAATCAGATTTGTTCAACAAGAGCTCTTCTCCATAAATTCATGTTGACTGTCACTTGTTATGTATCTATCCGTTAACTGACACCTATTTCCACTTACCAGTCCTGTTGCTTTGCCTCATCATTTTAGCCACATTGTAATTTGGCTCACAGTATCCCCTCTCCATCAGTCTTCTGACATTTTGTTATCATTAAAAGCTCTATTAAAGGTCACTCTTAGGTATGGATTTGCTAGTTTATAAGCGTGCATGCCGAGTAGATGCAAATATTCTCTCCTGCCACTGAAATAATGAGATGTTTAGTCATTGCCTTGGAAAGCAAGGAGGTAGTCCTGTTTTTTTCCTAACACGGAGGAAAGATATCAAGCTCTTCTGCTGACTTTTATCACAATTGTTACATTTTAAAATGGTTGAAGTTTGCCTTTCCTATCCATAAGATGTACTTTTATTTCTAGTATTTCTAAAAAAGCTCCAAACTTATAATTTTTCTCCTGCTGCCAAACACAGGCTTTTCCCTGAAGTCTTTAGCATCCATTATCATTTTTCTATAACTCATAACTTTCGATTTTATTTGATTCTCTATTCCCTCTCCATTAAGCTTGTGCCAATGTTTTTATTTGAGTTGTTCTTTTACTGCTGTTTTGATCCAAGGTGGGCTCTTAGTCAAAGCTATTGTCATTCTTGAGAGAGTCATTGTGGCTTTTTAGCCATATAATTAATATCCTCTGAAGAATGACATATTTTTTTTCACACTCGATTTTGCTTCTACTGTTCTTATTTTTGAGAAACTGCACTTTGAGATGCCATCTCTACAGTACTGCATATTGGATGGGAATATTCTCTCATTGCTTCTGTTGAATATAATAAGGTCCCTAGGAGCTATCATCTTCCAGTCTAGTGAGTAACTAATCTCTGTCCATTGTGTTGCAATCCAAATTTAAGTTACCCTATGTTCAATGCAATGTCTTTGATGACAGGAAATAATCGTCCTTGGTGACATCAGCGTATGTTCTCAGAGCAGAGGACCCTCCATGATAACCTGACCTCTTTCTGCATGTGCTCCTGAAGATTGCTGCAGCACAGCTCATTTTGTTTTGTCTGTTGATGTGATGCTCTGTAGCTATCCCTCACCTGCAAGCCCTCCTGAGCAGTATTACTGAGCATGGTGATCCATGTGCTTTCACAATTCCAGGCTCTGACTTGTCCTACACCAGGTAGTCTTGTGCAAACTGCCACCTTTGTTATCTACTATATTTACCTAAACGGGTTATAACCAGACGTGGACTTTCCAGCTGTGTTAATCGTCCTCCCAAAAGTAATACTAGTCAAGGTGAAGTCCTAAGAATTCAGCTAGGCTGTCTGAACAGTTGCAAGAACAAGTGGAAATTGTCTTTTCTTCAGTCTTTCCCATCGTCCCACCAGTTGCTGACTGCTGCCACTTTTTCTTGTTTTTCTAGCAATTTTTCATCCCACTAGAAGGATGCAGCCTGTCCCACTTGTACAACTTCCTCTTCTGAAATATTGCAGTGCAGCACCAATGTTCTCTGTCTTCTTTGGTTCATGGGGTTGGAAGGATCTCTAAGAACTTTGATTACTTCAAATTTCCTCTTTTTCAGCTCTTCTCCAAAATCTATGCAGACCTGCGTAACCTGTGTTGTTCCACACAGCAGCTTGTCATTTGTTCCAAAATGTGCCATTGAGGCTTGCCTACAACTCCATAATCCTTCTGAATTTTATCATTGCATCTTTCAGTTTTTCTCCCACAGTACTGTAGATTGCTCAGGGTGTTACCTGGTTAGGATGTGTTAGAGTTATACATTCAAGACACATGCTTTGGGCAGTTTATTGGATCAGATTATCTTCTGATATCTGCAAAGCAGTCCTTTTCCAACCTAAATTATTTTGTGATTCTGTAATATCTCATGATTGCTTTAAATTCATGCAACAGAGTAAAACTTATTTACACTAGTGTTGTTTTATTAATTTTTTGTTTTGTTATGTCTATATGAGGAAATCAGGCTGTATGAGGAACATACAAATCGGCAAAGTTTAGTTAGAATAAAAGAAAGTGTAGAAGGTATAGTAATGTCGTTAGATGCTATAAAGTGAGACACATACCTTTCAGATTGAGAAAATGTTGTGCGTGAACCCCTCAGAAATGCATTCTTAGCTTGTTCCTTTTTTTTTTTCTTCCCCTTCTCAAATTTTAGGAGCTACTGTTGAAACAACACTGGAAAATATCAGCATCAAGACAGATATGTTTCCTCCCTCTCCAACGAAAATAGCTGATGTGCATTTCTTTTACAAGTAGGTATAAAATACTGTTTATTGATACGTCAAATTTCTTCATTTGTTTAAAAGAAAGGAAAACTGTGAGGGGAGATCTTTAACCTGCCTTTAATCTTTATCACTTTAATCAGCATCTAGCTGATATTGATTGGCATGTTGAAGAGCGTTTCATCAAATCGGCAAACACTGTTTACGCAAATCTAAACTACACTTGATCTGTAGAGAGTGATACTGGAGCTTTCATTCTTCCAGGTGCCACTTCCAGTGTCATGTTCCTTTCCATAATTTGTCATATAGGGCTTTGATATGTAGACTTCTCATTGCATGTTTTTGTTCACATTCATTTGTATTTACTTTGATGTTAAAGAAATGAACTAATTACTAGGGAAGTGATTGTCCCCTTGCACTTGGCACTGGTGAGGCCACAACTCAAATACTATGTTCAGTGTTAAGCCCCTCACTACAAGAAAGACATTGAGGTGCTGGAGCATGTCCAGAGAAGGGCAACAAAGCTGGTGAAGGGTCTGGAGCACAAGTCTTGTGAGGAGTGGCTGAGGAAACTGGGGTTGTTTAGTCTGGAGAAAAGGAGGCTCAGGAGAGACCTTATCACTCTCTACAACTACCTGAAAGGAGGTTGTAGTGAGGTGAGTGTTGGTACCTTCTCCCAAGTAATAAGTGATAAGACAAGAGAAAATGGTCTCAGGTTGTGCCAGGGGAGATTTAGATTGGATATTAGGAAAAAATTCTTCAAGACTTGTGAAGCATTGGAACAGGCTGCCCAGGAAAGAGATTGAGTCACCATCCCTGGAGGTATTTAAAGGGTGTGTAGATGTGGTGCTTAGGTACATGGTTTAGTGGTGGACTTGGCAGTGCTAGGGTAACAGTTGGAGTCAATGATCTTAGAGGTCTCTTCCAACCTAAACGATTCTGTGATTCTCTGGTAAACTCTCCAGCAGAGCAACACACCAACCACAGGACCTGCAATTCTCTTTTTCAGTTGCTGTATTCTGTTTTGTGGGCAGGTTTATTCCTTGATTCAGCAGAATTCAAACTAGCTAAAAACCAGAGCAGTACCCTGAGTGGCATCTCAGAGCACTTTGAGATTAAAATGAAGTGGGGAAGCCTGCTCTGCTTCTGTGGCTCCTTTTTTTCCTTCCGTCTGACAAAGGAAAAAGTGCTGTGGTAAAGGGTAATTCTTTAGTACTGCATTTGCATGAATGGACAGAAACCTATGAAAGAGCAACATGTATTTACTGTAGTGGAAACATTACATTTCTCCTCTTATTTAACATTAGATCTTCAACAGTGACAACCTCCTGTGAAAATGGCCGTGCGACTGTTGTGACAATGAGATGCAACCCTAACAAACCAGAGCAAGGAGAGCTTTCTGTGCCCAGGTATTTAAGTATTTGTATCCTAGTAGTGCCTAAAAGCCTTTTCTCCTCAGGAAACCTTTAAAAAACTCGTTAGTAACTTTATAGTTAAAGCAACGAGGAGTGCTATCTCCCTCATCAGCCACCCGTGAGGTCTCACCCATTTCTTCTAAGTGAAGGATGTGTGTTTGTCTCCTCCCAGCAGACCAACTGATGTGTATTTAGGGTCTGCAGTGAGAGACCTTATAGCTCAGGCAGGTTGTTCCAAGCTGAAAGCCAAAAGCAAATGTAGTGATGTTTTCTTGTCTCCACTTCTCCTTTATTTCAGATCTTTATTCTGATCTTTGGCTTCCTGATTAAAACTACCTGGTCTGGCCTTTGAGAGGTAGTTTTTCTCCTTTGATCTACAGCAGTGACTGTGAACAAAGTGATTTTTTTGGAAAAGAGCAATCTGTCCTAGGAACGATGAAATCTGCTATTGCAATGCTTATGTGATCCCCGACTCTGTCTAGTTCAAGTTCTATATGTATTTATTTATGTGTCTCATAACTCCAGTTTCTATCCTGGACCCCTGTATCAGTTGTGTTTGCGTTTTTTTCCCTTCACTCTGATTCAAGTGACTCCAAAAAACTTTTTTCCAAAGTACTGTTTATTCCTGCACCTGAAAACTTGCAGAGAAAAAAACAATAAAACTATTAATTCTGTTACTCTTCAGCAACACCCTGTGATTTTTCAGAAGCTCCCCTCAACTCTGATAACCCTTCGCTTTGGCTATCAAGGCTCATCTTAGTCCTTCTGGATGTTATTACAATTCTGCTCATTGCCCCCTCGATGATCCTCCTTCCCAGAAGCTAAGTCGACTTCGCAAAAGCTAACAGTGTGAGAAGTGTGGGATCCTCTTTGATCCCTGTCCTTGTTGGGAGAGGTGAATCATGCTCACCTGAATGAAGGCAGAGAGACATCTACTTCACAGATGACAGATGAGGATTGGTGTTTGAACGCTTTTGGAGATGTTTGCCCCAGTTTCTTAGGGACTCAATACACTACAAATTATGCTGGATAACAAGCCATCGTCTGTCAGCAGCCATGTGAAAATCTTTCATGTACCCTAAGGTTGTAGGTTAAACATGATGTGATAACTCACCAGTAGTGAGGGAGGAGTAACCTACCTTACTTTTAAAAGTGTTAAGCACGACATGATGAAACTTATATCAGTTCTTGTTGACGTCTTCCTAGCTCTCTTTGATTAGCTCAGCAGTCAGCTATTTTCGAACAGTGAGGTATCTGATACATGTCAAATACTACTGCATATAACCCCTTGATCCTCCAGACATGGGGTTTAGTATCATATGAAACTGCAGTGTAAGGTGAAAGAGGCTGAGGAGTAAGGTCTGCCAATGCTCTTGCCATGTACATTGAAAAATTGTTCCATAATCCAGAGAGGATAGTTGTCAGTTATTCCAATCAGGATAACCTTGAATGGACTTTTAGGGCTGCGGATTTTTGAGTTCTTCAGATCAGGATAACAGATTACTAGATAATAAAGAAAAAAACCTTTTAAATCCATTTTTCTGTATGGATATATTTCACATTTGCATGACCCAGCTTCTCGTATGGACTTTTGGCCACTGCTGCTGTTACACCTGATGTAATTGTCAGTAACAAAAGCTGCGAGAATGTCCTGCTATTGCCAGTACAACTTTCTTCTGCAGACTGAATACAAAATACATTAGTCTTTCTTAGACTAAGAGAAGCTGTTATCTCTTCATTAACTGGTGAACATCCTTCTAGTAATTAACCATGACAGGACAAGACCATTCCATATGAACGAAATCACCCAGACTTCATTAGAACAACAGCAGGAACCAGATAGTAGCATTCATGTGGAACAGTCACTCAGTGCAGAACAGCGATAGAGGTGCTTGATGGTCTAGCCCATGCTGGTGAAACTCTGGAGTAGTTCTGCTGGTCTCCAAGACTTGCTTCTTTCTCCTCTTCATCGTAGGTGCGTGAGTAGTGCTCACTGCCAGGAACTGGACTGTTATTTTAGACCTTTGACAGCCCAACGTCTGTTTTCCCTTCAGAAAGTATTTTACAAACTGGGAAAAATTCTTTCCCCATATTTTTCCATCTGCTGACCTGATGGATGTTTACCCATTTGTTGTACTTACCATTACCAATCTTCAGCAGCAGAATGTGGAGTGAGGATGCAAACCTGAGTGTTTCATAAGTGATAACTAAGTTTTCTTCTTGTCGGAGTGCAGATCCTTGAAGAGACTGCACGAAGAAAATCCTGTGTAAATAGAGACTGGAGCTCTAAAGTTAGGCCTCAAGGGCAGAATGCCCTTGAAGTTAAGGATAAGAAAACTATGCAGTATGATAAGGGAGTAGTGTTTGCTTAGAGCAGAGCTTCGCTAGGCGGGTACCTGTTTGAAATAAGCTGTTAAATATGACAAGCATATGTATCATCCAATAATGGTGTAGGAAAGGTGTGGTCTCGGGATTATTGGCAAATACTGTCTATATAAGCAATAAGAACTGCGCAATAAACGAGACTTCCTGCAGCTAACTCATATTGAGTCGTCTCAGTACTTCTCCAAATCCCTTCTCCGCATCTTCTCCTCCTAGCTCATGCCCTGCGGGCA